TGCATGTCTTTTACAAGGGCAAACATGTAACAACCCCGCAAATGCTTGTAGAACATTATATAGTAATGTTAATGTGATTTTCACGACATTCCAGGAATATTTTCTGCTACATAACTGTGATTTAAAAGTCTATAATTTTAATGCACTGCAAAATATTTTGAAAACGCATAGACGTAACATACACTATGCAACTGATAAGTGTATTTAATTCCTGAAGTATCACTTTCGGGGATAATATGTAAGAATCGGTAAGTTTCATGACTTTGATTAGGTCATTCTTGTTCTGTTTTTCCTGTCTGTAGGAAACTATTCTTGATATAGTAACATATGGTTTGTAACATTGTTACCGTTGACAGTTAACACACATCTGAAATAAATACAAATCTACCACAAAAAAATCTGAAAGCTGTCAATTGTCAATGGCTTGTTTCCTTTCTTTAAAAAGAGCCATCGTCGCTAAACAGGAACATTGGTGTCATGTAATGATGGACATTACAATATAATGTGAATAAAAAAGACCACGGATTATGTAGATGAACAGTTGTGGTTTACGTTTCTACAACATGTTGACTACTGCATAAAGGTATAATTATAAAAATAGAACAGCTGACTCGTGGATTTATTACGTTCGACTTGGATGGTTAAAAAATTGGATAAGGTAAATACTAACTTTTTTACGACCAAAGGCTAATGTCTCTACAGGTCGATGTATTGCTGCAGGGTATGCATATGGCTAATTAAAATGCCATTAATATATTATGATTGTAAAGCGAATGTTGAACTCCAATGCAATTCTAAAATTTACCAACGGCTATAGTACTCTACAGCTGTGATTACATGGGAGAGAGAGAGAGAGAGGGGGGGGGGGTTAGCGACCACTCAACACAAACTAGGTAATTTCGGGACTAACATATGGTTCAATTCTATTTCAATAATTCGCTTGTCCGTAGGAATCTTTAGCAATGGGTGGAAACCAGAGGACCCGGAGAAAATCCGCGAGGATGGACAGGCGACCCTACTCCTTGTCACGTACAACCGGGGGTGCGAAACCACGCCAGTTGACTCAATAACAGACCTTATGATACAGTGCGCACACGCTAACCATTGTCATATATATATCAGATGTATCCAATCTAGAAGAAGACATTTTATTGCATAAAAAACCTTACAAGATTATGTGCAGTGCATATATGAATAAAAGGAATACAAATATACATGAAATAAACAAACATACATGTATACATGTACATAATTATACAGAAATACAACCGCTACCATATATTGGATTGCGAAATTTACAGACGTATGGGTTTGATCGATGTTTCTGGTATTCTAAATATGTAGAAGATATCATGTATCTAATCTGGTTAAATATTTCTAGATATAATGATAAATGAAAATGTTGTTTGATAAAATGGTGACGAGGTATAATTTGGGTTAATCTTCGCAAAGAGAATTCAGATAGTAACTGGTTGGGTTCATTGATAATAAATTACTATATCGATTAGTTCCGTAGAATGAGTGAGTTTAAGCAAGTAGTAAATGGTAGGGTTCATTGATAATAGGTCATTATGTTTTCGATTCTGTTTTTGATCAGATTATGTTTTTAATAAACAGGCAGGGTTTATTGAAAATTATGATTCTATGTGTACTGGTGACTACACTACAATATTTATTGTTTTGTGAATGATATTGTTCCACGCACAAACTGTCCTCCCGTTTAGCTATGGGGTAAGATGTGACCACTTATGTCGTGTAGTAGATACGATAGACTTACTCTTTCTAGTGATGCCCCTGTAGGCCTACATTGCTTTGTGCTTCTAGAATATCTGATTAGCTAACACTTTTGCATACTTTTGTAATAATGTCTGTCACTGAGTCAAATGACGTGGTTTAGTTCTCAGGTTTGTACGTGAGAAGGAAGGGTCGCCAGCCAAACTCCGTATGTTTTTTCCGAATGTTCCTCACAATGCTGAAGAACATAATTCGAAAGAGAATTATTGAGATATTATAGGACCTATTATAAGAATAGGTATATTTAAAGAATGTTTTGTTGAATATTTTGTTAAAATAAACCCTGGGTTGTCTGCTGAAGTATATTAAAGGTTATGATAATATAAAAGATGTATCTTTATGATAAATATTTATAAAAATGATATACCGACACTTGTTCTTTCTATACTACTTATATCTTATATATACAAACAACCATTTTCTGCAACTTAACTTAAATATCGGTTATGACCTTCAGCAAATTGTTCAAGATATAATGTGACCCTCAGCTGGTTGCTTGCCAACATCACCATGGAGATTTAAAATGGCGTATGGTTTCAGGTAATCTGTCCTGGATACGATTATTATGCACACTGTTAGATGCAAAAAACTAGAGGAGTAATGTTCGTGGTAAAAATAGCTTACACAATAGAAAATAGTGTCTGTGTTGTAATAAAGAACAAAAGAGCAACTTAAAGTAGCTAAGTCCCTAACTTAATATCATCCAAAATCTTCGACTTTAAAAACACGATTTATTTGTCGGCTTAAATCAACATTGATGTTGTGATCTTACCGGGAAAAGATGGTCTTCTGATATCCAATATTTAAGACAAAATAAACATTTTACAATTGGTACACGAATCCTGTACCATAATGCGTTTCAGCGCTATTTGTAATAAGGGACTCGAAAAACGAGGCTAGGCATATTCCACAAGTCATGTCAAACGGTGACGCTATATTCTTAACTGGAGAGCATGCCCAATAAATACTATCGCTAGAGATTGAAATTTGATTGAGAATACTGGCGTGTTTCGCCGAACCTAACTGATTAGAAATTACAGTAAAAACTGAAACGATTGGATGTAAATCAATTTATATACATTCATATTATATTATTGTATGCGTTGTGACCCATTCGTGTCCAATTCTAGGTCCCAAATATTAGCGACTTAGCTCCTTTAAAGGAGAATCTACATTCTGTACATAAAGAAGTCAAAACTCTTTCATTTAGAACAAAATAAAGTATCAAACTGATCTCTTTGATTTGGAACAAAATAAAGTTTTAAACTGACCTCTTTGATTTAGCACAAAGTAAAGGGTTAAACTGGGTCGATTTGATTATTATTTCTATTAGTAAATGGACAAGCTATATACGTATTATTTTTGCATTTAGAAATAAAAAGCGGAAGTCGGTTTGTTTACTAATTTTATTTTCAACTGTCAACATTTGTTTCTTAAGCATATATTATACAAGAACTAAATCTGCCTTTTACAGGTCTTGCTTTAGACCTGAAATGTTATCTAACTTATTAATTAGACATTAATTAACTTATCCAGACCAGAATCAACTCTCGATGCCATCGCTAGCCTGAGTTGTTTATCGGATTGGAATACACTTTGTGAAGGATAGTTAATCGAGACATTATACCGACTTTAGTAATGATGATCGAGAGCTAGCCTAAAATTCAAAAGCTAATACCTCGGATCAGAATGGAGAAATTTGACTGAAATTTTCAGTATATTCTCTTTACATTAACTACATTAACGAGAATTGTCAACTTCTTATCTAATCTCCCATAATGCCCATTTAATATAGGATATATCTATGGACCTAAGATTTGAAAGGCAGAGAGATAAAACAAATCAAATTTAACTCAATCGGCAGGTTTTTTTTTCACCCAAAATCAAAGGGATCTAGTTATTTTCAGTTCATTTCATTGTTGTTGTAATAATGACACGAAGATCCAATTAGTACTTGAATAGTTACTTTCATTAACCGATATTGCGTATGTAATACTTGTATGCTAGGGCATTTTCGTTTGCAGTAAAAATACAAATAGAAATCAAACACATCGCACAATACATAAACCGTGGCAAATGTTTCTGTTACGCTGAAAGATAAATGATACATGTATATGAATGTAGCCTATTTAAATTAAGTGGCAAAATGAGTCGAATTCCGTAGCCAACAATCCGGGTTTATCTTAGTTTATTATCTCTTTCTGAGGAATATATTAAATACAGTGAATAGTTAAGTTTTCTATTTTAATTCTTCATTATATATGTAATCCAAGTTAGTTGGTATTTGTCACTACCTGCCGTGTCCTTGTATACAGACAACGTGAAAAATACTAAAAATCGATGATAAATGACAGAATTTTAATCTGCTATTATTGGACAAATCACAAGATTTAATTTCATGCCGACGATTCAGCTCAAGATTCAATTACACCTTGTAAATAGTGATTACATCTAATGATGCAATGAACAAAGTGGTCTGCGGTAGGTAACCCTGTGAAACCACTTGTTGACATACAGTTTATATTTCACACATATAATACGTCCTTAGTATCCGCTCCTTGTTCTCTTAATTCCCATTGAAACTTTATTGTTCCGGGGCAGTTCGGCACTTAATGTAAACCATTGTACAAAACTTTCTTCATTTCCTAGCAGTTCACAACCATTGTACTCAAGTGTTCCCACATTCTTTTGAAAATTTACTGACGTCACACTTCCCTGTGCTAATACTTGTAAGAATTTAGAGGAAATGTTTGTACGTGTTGATAGTATGACAAGAAAGACTGTATTGTTTGGCTTTAATTTATTCATTATATGTTTGTGATAGTCAGCAGAACAGATTTGAATATTAGTTTCATCCATCTTAAAACGGTAAATTGTTTTTTACAAATTGTGCTTTATTTTAGCTAGTTTTAACTAATTTTTTTTATAAAAGAAAGTGAATTTCTGGGAATTTAAAATTTCCATGCTTTCTCTGTTCTTTTACTGGGTGTTCGCACGATAGCCTTACCAGGCTGTGTAAAATTATTTTAGTTTTCTTGAAGAACTTGTGTAGTTATATGGAATCTGCTACTTTGACACCCAATGCGAGTTAGTAAAAGGGAAATAACTCCTACATAAGTGTCAGGTTTCAATGGCAAACCTGTCAAACGGGATCTTGCAGTGTATAATAAAACCGACTCTCCTTAATGGTTTTATCTTATTTTCAGGTAACCCCTGGTAGCGTAGCATCTAGTGGTTTAAAACCTGGTGACACTATTATGAAGATTGGACCAGTCAATGCTACAACTTTGTCACACAATGAAGGACAAGAACTTATTCGTAACGCAGGGAATATTTTGCAGCTCACTATTAAAAAGTAAGTTTAAGCCTTTTAATAACATACTGATTTCCATTTTTAAAAACTATACCAAGAAATAAAATATTTAAACCGCTTTATAATTGGGATAATGGTACTGAAACCTAATTACAGTCAATATATTCTATGACTTAAATCCAGTCCATGCATTAGTGGCGTACACACAATTCAGACAGGCAGTCACAGTAATTATATTTATTCCGCTGAATATCAGGGGGTCAAAATCTAATAAGAATCCCCAAGTCTAATATTCCAACCCATAGGACCAATATTATCTTGATGCATATCCGTCGAAAACAATGCTGAGAAGGTGACTTTCCAGTTTGAATTTCTATATTCATGTCTAGGTTTTTATAGTATAACTTCAAGGATGTTTAGAACACTTTCTTTTGCACGACAGTCTAGAACTGCTTAATACAAAACACAACAGTTTTACCATACAAACTTCGCAAATAAATAAGAAATGTCGTTTTATTTTATTTTTAAAAATTACCGTAGTTCATTTTAAAGAAGAATGTTTGGGTAGTCCTCTCGACACAAGCTAGGTCATTTCGGGACTAACATATGATTCAATTTTATTTCAATAATTCGCTTGCGCGTAGGGATCTTTATTTGTGGGGAGGGGGGGATCCAAGAGGTTGGACAAGCGACCCTACTCCTTGTCACGTGCAAGCGGGGAACCGAATGACATACCTTTTGATATAACGCACACGCGTTAAACCATTCGGCCACCAACCGTCCACTTCTCCTTAGAAATACATTATCACTTTCAAAATAATGTAGACTTCATTTATTATCAAGCAAGAGGTGCACCACTGCAAAGTTCATAAAATGAAATATCTTTATCTCTTGTTATTGGCCGGTTGGGTTTATACACAACTTTAACGCCAATTAACATCTAATCATTTGATGGTGAGTGTCAAAGCGGGTGTGCCTCTTTAATAGGCTGTGCAGCGTAGCAAACATTTACACGAACACAACATAGATCAAATCGACCTTATACTGTAACATGCACACCTTGATCAATATGAATTATTTTTATTTGATGTACTACTCTGTCAAATTATAGTTGGCAAAATAATCTGAAACCCATATTTATTGCACGAGCTTTTCTCTCTACAATATTATTTTCACATAAATTTGCAGATTGTCATTTGTCCTTCCAGGCTAAGTGCGTCGTGTCAACCAGACGGTCCCATGTCCCCAAATAGATACCAGTATGACAGTCAAGTATCAGCTCAACTGTTACAGGGTTCACCACGAGCCCAGCAGCAACAACAACAGCAACAGCAATCATATGGCTACAGTCTTTCACAGGATAACTCAAACCAACCTTTCAGAATACAGATACAACACTCTAAGACACCGTCTTATCCAGAAACTAATTCGTTCAACAGTCGTAAATATATAGACACTTCTCAACAGCAGGCTCCAAGCTATTCTAGTCCCAATTACCAGCAGAATTACGAACAGCCTAGCTACGGTCGTCAGAATTCTCAACAAGCTCGAAGTCAGCAAGACACCTATGAAGCTCAGCCTTACACACAGTATAAAAGACAGACTTCTCGTGATCCAAATTATGGAGTCCAGGGTGTGCCGCAATATCAATCACCCAGAGTGCAATCTTCTCCTCAGCATATACAAATACACTATCAACAACAGACACCACAAGAACAACAACAGCAACAACAAGCTTTTAGCCCGACGTCTTATAATAAACCTCAACAATTTTCTAAATACTCGGATAATGTGTATGGTGCTAATCAGACTTCTTATTCGTCTAGTCAACCCAAAAGCCCTTCCACTTATCAGGCTCCACCGTTCAGTCCTGGAGGAACACCTTATTATCAAGAGGAACTAAAATCTCCGTCCTATAAAAGTCCAATATTACCTGGAGGAGGTACGCTGAACAGAAGTTTCAGTAACGAGCCACAGCCACAAAGTAATTCATATTCTCAGCCCCCGCCCTCTACGTATTATAATACAATTTCTCCGACGGGTACTTATAGTCGTAACGCTAGTTCAGATTACAATCAGACCGATTATTCTCAGACGTTCCCCAGAAGTTACAATAGACAAAGTTCACAGCCAACTTCACCTTATGTCAGTGACCAAGTATCGTATGGTTCACCATCACAAAACACATTCTCTCCCATACCGACGTCCAACCAACCTAGTCTATTTAGTAGAAGTACCTCCCAACCAGCACAGAGTTATGATCCAACACCTGAACAACCAGCACATAGTGCCACATCAAGGGCGACAATGAGCCCTTTAAGACAACAAATGAATCAGTTAGCAAGTCCGACGAGTGCGAGTTATCCATATGGATCTCAGCCGACGTCCTACGGAGCGCAACCAACGTCACCACAAATAGTTCCAGCCGCACCGTCATTTAGCCAGTCAGCTCAACCAATGTCACCACAAAGAGTTCCAGCTGCACCGTCATTTAGTCAGACAGCTCAACCAATGTCACCACAAAGAGTTCCAGCTGCACCGCCATTTAGTCAGGCAGCCCAACCAATGTCACCACAAAGAGTTCCAGCTGCCCCACCATTTAACCCAGTGCCTGTAGCACCACCTGTGGGAGCTCTCGATTCTTTCAGTAGTCCATATTCTTCATCACAACTTGGTTATGGAGCTGTAAGTCCGGACCTCTCTTCACTTTCTCTGACTTCTGATAGCCTTGACCAAGGATTAAACGTTCCATATGAAATGTCAGAACCTGCTGTTCTAGCTCCCCTTCCCCCTCCCCCTCCACCTCCCCCTCCTCCACCATCAGGTCCCCCGCCCCCACCTCCCCCACCTATGCCACCATCATTAGCTGACTGGAGACCAGATGACCAGGTAAGAATTTTTCGTACAATAAACTGGATCTATAGAAGTTACCCAGCTGCAATACATTTAGATTTTAAAAGAAGCATGTAGTAAGTAGATGGCTTTTAGTAGGCTTAGAATATCTTAAAACATATATATTATTATGTAGTCGCTTAAATAGTAGCTTATGTAAATGTAGTAAATGCTTATAACGCAATGAAAACGCACCACTGATTTGACTGGAAGCGCTGACGTTACTTAACTCTAAATATACTTTTTGGCATGATTGTAGACTGGACAATTACCGACTCGTTGCAATTCGGTTCCCAATGGCTCTGGTAGGCCCTACCCATGTCCGCTTGACTTTTCATTCTTATCGTTATCGTGTCTTTAAAAGAACTCCTGCAGTTGAATTGACTGTAGCTTACTAAAAGTCACATTTTATACCCTTTGCAATTAAATCGTAATTTTCAATATCTCCATTTTATCGAACTCAATTGTTTGTGTTGAGAAGATTTATCTGTGGTGCGTTTACACGAACGTGAAAACACCATTCTCACATGTTATCTACGTGATTAGTGTTTTACATTCAGAATTGTAAGATTAAAGTGTATCTTCAAACGAAGTTTACAATCATTCATTTCTAGAAGTGGGTGCATTTTCATTTCGTCTCAGTTTATTATAAAACATGGATAGCTTTCTAGATAAGTTTGATTTGTTAACAAAGGATGTATTTAGATATCTACTCAGTTTGGCTTTGTGAGTTTGAAATTATTAGTGTAATTTCCAGCACGCTTAATAAAACGAATAATATTTTGGTAAAAAGATTGTCGTAGTTAAACTTGCTTGAGAAAATGACGTATTGTGGTGATAAATAAATATTGCACTATAGTAAGTAGTTTTCGAGTAAGTAGATACATACTTAGATCATTTACACCCTAGAAGAAAGAGTCAGAAATACGTGAGTAGTCCCTGCAGTAGACGTTACTCCCCTACTACAAATTGTTCTTCGTTATCCAACCCTCTTTCTTGTGTACTCTCGCCTACTTTGTGGACTTTCACTTTGATGTTTCTGATATGGTGTTTGACTAGATTTCTTATTGTTTGTTTTACCGATAAGATGTAATGAGATTGAGTGTGCATCAATTATATGCATTCAAAAATTTGAATAGGAATGAGCTATTTTTAATGTCGATGTACTTATTGAATACTGAATTGCATGACATGTGTAGGAGATAAACATATTTTTTTAATGCGATATGTTCACACTAAATATACGACGATTCTTTTTAATTTAATGAAAGGTGTTGTCACAATTAACATATGATATTTCCAGGGAGTAAATAAAATGTTTATCGCTAATCAACATACATGTATTTGGCTACACAGTTTAATTTAAGATTTTAAGACATACGAAATATATTTGGTCAAAAGCATAGTCGGGTCATTTCTATTAAGCTCCCCATTTTGCCTCTATGTACTTTGTAGTAATAAAGGGCTATATAAACGTGATAATGCCTTTTTTTGGCAGTTTTATAACCTAGATGATAGATTAATATAATGTGACCGCGGACAGGTCGTATTGTGAAGACTTTCTCACTTAACCTTTTAACAACCCGAACACAAAAACACTGCTTTACACAAATCAACCTACAAAATTATCTTGTATCATTCTAAACAGATTAATATGATTAATATACATTAACACGGTTTTGTATAATTTGATTAATATCTTATATATAGAATACAAAAGATAAAAGATATTTTTTTTCTCGGTAGATATGTTTAGCTTGTTATTAATGGTGTGATCTAATGATAGGTTGTGATAAAGTCTAAAGCTAATAAATTAAAGCTTAAAAGTGTGAATCATCCGAAGTTCTTTACTAACAATGGCAAAAGAAAGTGTTTATATAGTTTCTGACGAACAATGAAACTAAATAACTGCATGTCCATCTAAGGTGTCAGAGAGATTTTGTTAATGAGATAGTCAGTTTGCGTAAACTAATGATAGATAGTATCACCCAGGGCACTGAAAACATTACCGGTGTATTGAAATGCCGAAGGGCATGACTGTCAAGACAAAATAATAATAATAACAATTTTCTTTTTCCGATCCACATTCTTAGCGTCAAAGATCAAATAAGACAAATTGGTGTCATTCGGTACAGTTTACTACAGATTCATTTCTTTAAATTATATATAGTACTTGAGGCAGGGTCGCGATGGTTGTAGGTAAAATACCAATTTTTCTTGGTGGATATTATTATCAGGTAGGCGCTATAATTACTAAAACTTGTTTATTTATTTAATTTAATTTATTTACTGGCTTTGTTTGTGTTGGAATTACGAATTCGAATTGGATTCAAAGTGCGATATTTTCGAATCGGTCTCAGGAATACTGTGTTTTTCTCGATTTACAAAATTGGCCTAACAGCGAAGTATTGAAAAAAAAAACAAACCCAAAACAAACTGTCTATTTTATATTCTAAGTGTGTATTTACTTTCGTATTTACCATGTAAATAATTACGTAGGTAAAACAGTCTAGGGATGTTTATCGTGCTAAAATACATACATCAATGAGTGAAATAAGACCGAATTTGCTTTTTAAACTTGTGGTATTTTGTAATTTTCTTTCTAAAATGTTGGTTCTAAACACCGAAGAGAAACTCTTATACCAGGTAGTAATGGAGATTCAGAGAGGTAACTTATTTTTTTTGGTTTGTAAAGTTAATGAAAAGTCTAAACGAAATTCATGTTGGATAGGGGAAATGTTTTAAAACTGTTACATATTTGAAGCACCACCAGCACCTCGCACCTCGTCCCCGGTTCCGATGGACCTGACTGAAATTGATTAGATCTAATTATACTTAATTAACGAACGTATGTGTTTATTTAGTAAATAATATATTGATACGTGCACGAATTCTAAAGCGTGTGGTTATTAGTAAGTATTTATAGCATGTTGATAAACTCTTTTATTATACGTAATGACAATTATTTTGTATAATTAGGCGTAAGGCATGCTGAGAATGCTAATAAAGCTGCACGTTTGATCAATCATTTGTAATAGAGAAATTGTATTATATTTTTAAAAGTTAATTTTTAATAGTGTAAAGATATTCGATAACGATTCTATGATATAATTAAGTTAATTAACATTAACTAAATCAGGAACGTTTCGTTCTTCTTTTATTCGCGGGCTTGATCCAGCTAATGTCATGTTATATACAACGCCAAGCAAATAATTGAATATAGATATGTTAATATGGTATTTATTTATATAGAAAAGAACATCTAATTCGAACTCCAATCAACAAGATGGTAATAAAGTACCTGACGGTTTAATAAGTGCCATGAATAAACCGGGTAAAAAACCGTTTTCGTATGGAATTGACTTGGAAGAACTCAAACAAAGAACATCGTAAGTATTAATATCACTTTATTACTATTATTTTAATCGCTATCATGAACATTTGGAGCCGGAAAGAAGGGTGTCCATTATTATTTAGAGTTACTAGGGAAACTGAACCAGGTACCTTAATATCTGTGAAAGTAAATAGTACTCCTTGTGGATACTTTAACATAGGTTAATTGCATTTAGTTCCCTCTATATATCCTTTTTCCTTATTATTACCGAACGAAGTTGATTATCGTTTAAACCCCTTTCATGTACGCAAAGGAAAAGATAACTAAAATATATGTACAAGTAAAACATTTTCTGGTAGTTGCTATTGGTTAGGTCGAATGTTTCTCTATCACAGCATTTAATAGATTTGTGTGAAATGAAATGAAATAGGCTTTAACTTTCTACTTTTCTACTCCATCAGGGCAGATTTAAACGGGCGTACACTGCGGTACGGTCTATTCTTATTTCGAATTCCAACCGCAAAGGGTTCTTTTACGTGCACACCGTGTACAACTTACAGGGGGGAATCAAGCCAACACCCGGATCGAACCCCTCACCTACTGAACCACCGCGGCATTCTTGTTTAGACTTGAATATTTAGTTAAAAATACATGTATTGGTCTAACCTGGTTTGAATAGATATTTAGACCTTTGCAATACTTTCACGATGATAAATATACAACACTTGTATGTGGAGTGGACGTCATAGATTATATTGAATAAAGCATTGTGTATACACACTATTATGCAAGAGCTTATTCAACAAACCTATGCAATGACCCCGTTTCACTGAACAGTCTCTAAACACGTGCACGCGTCCATGGGTTCAGTTGTACTATCTCAACCTGACAGACTTAATGTAGAAAATATTTGGTATATCTTGCATGATATTAATTAATTGTGCGGAATATAATTTTCCTATGTTAAAGATGAGTGATTTATTATCGGATTACAGGAGACAGTCTCCAGCAGTGGCTCCTAAAGCTAAGAAACAGCCTGTACCTACTCCAGCTGGACCACCAGGTACAGCTCCTAAACCAGGCGTAGCTAAAACTAACGTAATGCCAGGAGGACCTCCAGGATCTGGGTAAGTTTTTACTGAAAAGCAGTTAGTAATCCATAAGACATTCCATTCCAGATCTTATTTTCTTTCAGTAGGGGCATTAGAGGCACTTAAAAACTATCTGATCAACAAGGACCATATTACGAAAGGCTGATTAATGAGGCTATTTAGAGTGCGTGTGTTCCCTACCCCGCCCTCACCAAGTTAAACTAGAATCAGCCCTAATAAGACAACCCATCGTTGATTTGGGTAAAATACGAAATTGTCGATTTATTAGTTTTCTTTCAAGCCAATGTTGGGATACAACTGATCGCGTGTTTAACAGTTAACAGTTTAAACCAAATATCGTTTTGGGGCGGTTCTCCAGCTCTTACTAATAGAACTAGACTCTATAAGCCAATCATTTTATTTAACAGTGCATAATTTGCCCCGTCAGTCGAAATCAAGTCAACATTTAATTTTAACCTAAATCAAAGAGTTTTATCAGCTTTACGAAACCAGACTAAATAAATATTTCATTAAAGAGCTGTAATTTATAGCTAATATATGGATCACTGAAATAGAAAAAAAACCCTGTCTACTAGTATTTATAAATTCTCTCTGTACCTGTAGTAATATGATCAATATTGTATTAATTCTTTATATATTTTATATATTTTAGCTCAACTTACAAAAATCAGTCAGAAACTTTACGAATGGTCCAAGAACGCGAAGCAAGTAAGAATGAACCTCGTTCTGAAATAGATGAGAGTCATATACATGTAAACCCTACAGGTCCTAAAGGAAAACAATCTATGTCCTTTAAAGTTTTGCAATGGATGACAGACACACCGGAAAATCCAGCAGGTATGTGTCTTTTGGACACATGTCGGTAACTCGGCACTCTTTATTCCAAGGCTTATATTACCTTTGTCCAATCTGACGCTCATAAATCTGACGGTTACTGACTCTAACGAAAGGTCCAATAGGTATATATAGAAACATTAGCTTGCTTGTTGCATTCTAGCAAGTAGTTTCAGTTTCTGAAATTCACTAATTAACTAACAGTATTATTGATATCATGAGACAGGATATACTAACAGGTTACCTTATTAATATACAATACGAATTTTTTGTTTATTGATCAATAATTAAAGCCCTCTTTGTGTTATTTTTTAGAACCAATTGTTGACAAACCTAAATCGAAAAAACAGAGGAATCCCCTGTTGCGTCATAATTCGGAGGATGATGAAATGAGATTTTCGGGACTTCATGGTAAAGCAGATATACCGTCTAAAGCATTTGGTAGAGTACAACACATGAAAACAACTGATTCACCACCACCACAAGATCAACAAGATAATGGTAAATAATTTCCTTTTGCATCTTTACTTCTGGTTACTTTCCATAAGTAAATCGATAAACTGGCAGAAATATATAAAACACCACATGGCATCTAAACGCAATCCATTTTATAATATGAAATGCAATGGTGGTTTAACGTACTACTGTTCTGCTCGGACTTTTATAATATGACATACTATTGAATATGAGTAAAACAGCTGAAAACATATCCAGGAAATAGGTGGGGGGACGTTTTAGCTTAATTCATTACCCATAATTTAACATATAACAAGAATAGTTACAACCGAGTATTCTCGAATCTTCTTGATATTTATTCAAAGGCAAGACAACATCCTTGCTCTTTATTTATGACATGTTAGGCTAAACCATCTTAAGTTTTCTTTCAGGGTTACCTATCAAAAAGCAGTATCATTAAAGTATTTTGATGAATAACGCCCCGCTTTTTTACCGAAACGTTCATCAAATGATATTAATCTGCTTGGTATTTTGATTATCTACGGTTTTGGTAAACGGAAATCTATGTATATAGCTTGCAATACTTCTCTTATGAAGTTAACATAGTCAATTCAACAATCAACTATCCACTGGTAAAAGATGAACATAGATAAGGGATTGAAGGGGTCAGAACCAAAGTGGGCTAACCCACAAATCTCAGGCAAAAATTAAAATATGAACTAAATAATATACTCGGCATGGCATAATCACTGACCTTGATGAATTGCAGAATTTTTAATCATCGATAAACTTTGATGTCAATTTTCTCGAATAGTTGTCAATGTGAGTTAGCCCACTTTAGTTTTGACCCCTTACTATCACTCTGTAATGAAGTTTACAAATACACACTTTTTTTACTTTTTTTAATTAGACCAACAGATAGGTAATTATGATGAAACATCTATAAGATATAAAGGGAAGTTCATCCCATCACCCTCATTCAGAGTTTTACAAAATTGGGCTGCACTGGATACAGACGTTGAAAGTAAGTAATAGCACCTCATACAATTTTAAGATACCTTACAAAGAAAAGGACATTTAGAATTATAAACATAGCCCATTTCTCAGACATAAATGATGTTTTGTAACTGATTCGTAACCTCTCCAGGTTTGCTGCGATCTTCCTTGCCGAATCGCCACGAATTTCGATCGTAGACCACGTGAAATCCGGGCATTAGTCTATCCACTAAAAGTATTTATTCATAATTATAAACCCATCAATTTCACCGTTTTAAAAAATGTTCATCTCTTACGAAAGACTTCTATGTCTCTGTACAGTTTCGTCTTGCTGGATTTTGTTATTCAATCGGTTGGCATTATCTACAAAGCTAAAGATGTGACTTGAGAAGGCTACAGTATTAATATTCGTTTCATAATGCTCTAAATATTCTTTCTGATAATAATCGTTTCTAGATTTGTTTGTTTATTTTAGTAATTATTTAGTAGTCAGAACTTATTCGATTTATAGAAGGCACGAAGCCGTGAACTGATCTGTGGATACTAGTAGGCTACATTACTAAACAAATAAATGTATATTTTTGTAGCCCCAGCACAGAGACGAGCTAATGTAGATGAAGAAGATGATGGTTTACCTGATACTTTGTCTAATGAAGAAATGGTTGATGTAAGATATAAAGGTGGACATATACCATCTAGAGTATTTAGATCATTACAGAAAGCTGTAGGTGATGATACACCCGAAATACCAACACGTATGTATTTGTTTAGTGTTAATCCATTCCTTTGGTTATTTGTGGGAGCTTGGTGAGTAAGACGTTGGCTTGCTATAACCAGGAGTTCCCGTCTTCGATATCGGTATCTGCCGAATTTTCCGGCGTGGTGCCATATTGTCAGTGGCGCAGGGCGGAGGGCCTGACAGCAAACAACGTTTTGTAGCTCGGTTGGGACGAAAGCCGAGGTCCCATATACACATGACATGCACGTAAAAAAACCCTTGACAGTTGGAATTCGATATAAGAGTAGGACGTAGTATCGCTATCCGGGCAAAATTTCCCTCATAGCACACTGCATGGCGTTTGTCCGTCTTCACAAGCCCAGTAGGAGTAGAACAGTAGGCCGTTAAACCCCATTTCATTTTGGCTTATTTCCTGCAATTATAAATATAAACTATTACCAGCTTACCTTGAACAAGGCACTAAGTTTGACGTCATCGTAACCATCTTGGAATTTTGTCGTCGGTCGATCGGTGAGCACTTGTCTAAAGAAACAAGCATTGCAAGTTTCATGTCGATTATACTTCAATTGACGAAGCCTTTAACTTTTTTTCGAAGAGCGTCTTCCCCAAGAGGAAGACGAACAACACCAACAATAAGAACAAATTGATGAGTAGCGACTGGGGCCAAGTTCCTGGTGCTAAAAGCGTGTTTGACTACCACCTATTTAACTATCATATTACAATTTGAACAATAATGTTTAGTTAACCAGTAAGATAAGAGTTGGGACAAGGGAAATGCAGTACCGGTTGTGGTAACAATTAATTAACGTCGTTAGAATCAATGCTATAGCGATAGCTGATCCCAGATCAAAATCTTAGTAGATTTGCTGGTGTGTAAGAGAAGTAACTCCAATTTATATACCGATTAGCATGTAACGTCACACTGATATATATCATGGAAATTAACACACACCCTAGAAAACCTATACTATATCGTATTTTGATTTTTGATAATTTTACAATTCTAGCAACACAGAATGGAAGTTCTGACCAAAGTCAACCTAGAGGAATAAAGGTTATATCTAAGGCCGTGCCACAAACTGTTCAACAGGGTGATACTAATGCCGGTACAGATTTTTAAGATGGAAGAAGAATTATAAAGTTATTGTTTTCAGATTATTTATTACATTGTTAATATGATAGATATTTTAAAACTATTTAATATTTGCATGAAGTCAATGACACTAGTCGCCAACGTGTAACCCGAATTGCATGACATGTTTTATGAGTACCCCCCCCCCCCCACCCCTTAGTTTCTTTGGCGGAAAACATCCGGCCACACTATAGGCCAAGAGGCTATCCGTCAAGAGTGTAATTAGAAGTACCATTATTATATTGTATTAATGAGATCTAAGCATTTACGATTTGTTAACGTATGATCTCTTTAATATAGAATCTTTTACTAACAGAAGCAATGTAAATATGTAAATATGAAAGATATTGAAAGCGACGTAAGAGAGTTGTTTAGGTTTTTAGTTAATCAAGGAAGGTGTTAGCTTAAGTGAAATCCTATTCTTCCGAAGACAACACGAAATAAGGTTGCAAGAAATCCAAATAAAAACAGGAGTAAGACCACCAAAATTTTACAAAATTAGAAAACGAATACTAGAAGTGGTTATGTTTGAATCTTTTTATGTTTTACTATTGTATAATTAATTAACAAAATGACTAATATTTTTGTATGTCTTATTATGTATATATATATATTCTAGCAATAGTGAGGAGCTCATTCAAATTCTGCCTTCATCACTATGGTAACCAATTGTGCCTTATGAATATGAAGTTAATGTCTGTAGAAAATACAACTTAGAAAAAATATATTCTCCCCGCTCTATGTAATTGTATAGTCGTGCCTATTACACCCTCTTATACATAGGGGTGAGTGGTGAGATCTGCGCTACATGGAATGGTAGTTTAACCTATGCACATATTATGTTTTCTAGAGAACCTTGTTTGTTATTTACTAGTATACTTAGTTATTCTCTATTATCCATGCGTAGATTATGTTTTGTTGACCGTTACTTTCATTTCCTTCTTCCATCTCTGTACATAAACATTGTACCATGTATATTTTCAGATAAGTAGACCTTTAGTTATGCGTTTGCTATGATATTTCCTTATAAGTTATTCGGAAAAAATATATCTTTTGTGAAAAATTAATCATAAAGTTACAAAAGCTTTGATAACAAGTTTTCGGGTAAACGGCTTTTTTTGTTCTATTATGGAAGCATTTTGTAGTAGGATTATTAAAATAAATTTTAAAAAACTGTTAGGCTGTAGAAAAGATTTAGATCTCCAAAGTATTTATCAAATTTGAAATAAATTATATTCGCTTTGTAATTTATTTTTCGGTTGCTATGCCAATCCCATTGGGACAGTTTGCTGTGTCATTGGTGTGTGTTATGTGTACTTTTAATCAAAAATAAAGTTTTATCCATAAATATTTAGGTTGTGACTAACGTGTAACCTTTCTTCTATGATCAAATCATCCATATCTACTAGCGAATATAGGTGCCCCCACTCCACCCCACCAACACAACACAACACTCTCTTAAATGCCAGTATAAAAATACACTTGTTTTTGTTGGTTAGGGATTGTTGTGTGTGTGTGTGGGGGGGGGGGGGCAGATATGAGAAACAAATTATCATTGACGCCCCAATTTTTCTTTCAAAATCTTCTTGGAGGATGGTACCATACCCCTCACACTCTTGGGAGATATGTCGGTGCGGTGATAGTGGGATCTGTTACCACCATTATGTTAACCCTAAATAGTCTAGGTGTGTCTGCAATAGATTGCTTTGAGTGAAATGAACACGATTGAATTAATCTTACGTTTGGTTTAAGGTTTTCTACCAAACAGAGAGTAACATATGGCCTGTTCTCTTCCACATCTTGTGTTCACCATGGAAATTTTGCGATGGACATACAAACTGGGAGTCAAAAACACACCATTGTCCACCATACATCTCATTTAAAGTCTGTGCGCCGATTGCACTTTTCGGAAAATATCAAATTTCCCCACGACTTAATCCGCACCAACAAAATATCAACGGTAGATAATTTCCCGGCTCACATTCAGTCGGATAATCAAAAGATTAAGCGAAACTCGTGAATAGCGCTGTAAATATCTTCACAAATCTGTGTAAATACTGAACGAAATGGCATCTTTTTGGACTGATATCACAATATTGCACGTAATTGTAGTTTACAAGGGGTTAGCAATCCCTCATATGACGTTCAGAGACTTTAAGCTTCTCACTTTTATTCTTCTCCCACAAAATCATGACCTGATAAAACGTATAGAGTCAATCCATTTTCTTCAATTCTAAGATCAAAATGCTGAAAGGGTTGTCTGAATTTACCTTCCCTGGCAGATTGTTGGACTGTGTACGGTAATATCTACGATGGATAGTTACGTGTTTACACCCCCCCCCCCCCACACCATTTGATTTTACTTTCGGTTTGTGTCTAAAGTAGAGAAATGCTGTCTGAATTTACCTTTACTGGCAGATTGTTGGACTGTGTACGGTAATAACTACGGCGAATAGTTACATGTTTACCCCCCCCCCCCAATTTTCCACGGTCAAAATAGGAATAACAAAAAGTTTTAAAAACATAACAGGAATGCGTAGTGATCATGTTTATTGGAAAGAACGCGTAAATGTACCCTACTTAATACACGATACAAAAGCAGTGGTGTGACACGATACCCGGTTAGACTCGGAGAAATGGAACAAACCATTGCCTCATGGTGCTACATGTAGTATATGGTTAAGATGCTGGCTCGCTAGCCTGGAGGTCGGGTGTTCGATACCTGCATTGGCCCAGAAAGTTCATCAGGATTTTCCGACGTGGTTTCCCCTTGTCAGTGGTGCAGAATGGAGGGCCTGACAAGGACAGCTGTCTAGTCCTTCGGATAAGACGAAAAACCGAGGTCCCGTGTATATATTGGAATGTACGTAAAAGATCCGATGGCAGTTGGAATTCGATATAAGAGTAGGCGATAGTGCCGCTGCCCGGGCAAAATTTCCCTCATAGCACACTGTATGGCGTATGCCAGTCTTCATTAGCCCAGTATTGGAGCAGAACAGTAGGACGTTAAACCCCATTTCATTTCATTTATATGTAGTATCAAGTAAATAGGCAAATCTATGGTGACATATGGTCAAATTATTATGGAATGTAGTGAGAGTTATCAATAGACAATTTTTCCCTTAATTTTTTTTCTCCCCTCTTCCTGCATTTTTGGGGTGACTTTTTGGTCTAGAATTGGAGAAAAGGGATCAAATTTGCAATTTCATAGCAGTTTTGGGTAATACAGATGAGTTTACAGCGGGGGGATAGGGGCTGTAAAGTGTCCTAATAAGATTCTAAGAGTTGCTTCCCTTTACACGGGCCCATGATACAAAGTCACAGTTACTCTATCATAGGATGTGTTTACACATGGCCGCGCTAAAATACAAGAAATTTGCACCGTTTACATTGCTATGCAATAACCGTTCTCGGAACCGTTCCTGCTGCAACAAATGTGTAACTCTCCACAGAAAAGTTAATTTCAATCCCCTAAGCATGTTACCCAGAATGGAACGCTGATCGCTATAAATAATTTAAAAAATATACCATACCAAAGAAACGTGTGATTCATCAGTTCATCAAGAATATAATACAATATTTCAAACATATCGTACAATATGGAACAAAGTTTAAACGAGACACTTTTGCAATGAAGCGCTATACAAATCAATAACCCTGTTTAATGCTGATCTATGTCAAACATATCGTACAATATGGAACAGAGTTTAAACGAGACACCTTTGCAATGAAGCGCTATACAAATCAATAATGCTGTTTAAATATGAATATTAATGCTGATTGGTGGCAACACCATTTAACTGATTGTTAACTTTGGTCCAATACTGTCTCTGAAGTTCAACAACACTACACTGTGAAGCTAGGAGATGCATCTTAGCCTGATGCTCGGATTCAAACAAGTCCAGATCAGTTCTTATCAGTGACAATTTTGCTGCATGATACGCCTTTTCTTGCTCCATCTGTAACTTCAAAAAATCTTGTTCTGTGAGAGGTGGATCAGAGCTACCGTTTGATTTTATGTTCCGTGGAAATCGTTGACTGGTTACATCCTTGTGAACAGACAATCTACCAGCAGAACTTTGGAACGGGGCTGATGGCAAACGCGGATGATGAAAATGGTCAAGATAAGCAGAAGGTGGTGGTGGATGATTGTTACCTAGATAATGTAACGTACTGAAACTACGTAATCCACGTGGGTCCTCGGGAAATCGTCGAAATTCCTTAAATGTTTCTGGCTCGTTGGCCTTTGGGACACTTGGTCGATTTCTACCTTTAAGGTGTTGATTTTGATACGGTGGTGGTATCTGATATCTAACTGCATCCTCCACATTAAACAGCTGTGATGTAAACCGTCGACTGTCCGGTATCCTAGTCGAAGGTATTCCATGATCATTTGAAGATACTGGGATTGAATATTTCTGATTCATGCTAGTTAGATCATTTGGTATTTGCATATTTTGAGGTGTTTCATTATCTGGAACTGGTGGTTTGCCTTTCATAAGATCGTTAGTAACGGTTTGGGATACTATATCAAACAGGTGAATATCATTTTCCGATGGTACTTTATTACACAATTCTGCTAAACTATTCAAAGATTCTTCATCGGTAGTCTTTTTTGAGTCAACAAATTTGGCCGGTGTTCCCTTTCTCTTGCGCGAAAGTCTGAGTTTAAGTTGGGGTTTATCTATGTGACTTTCTTCTTTAAGGTCTGTATTTCTTGGACTGCCGCTCTGTGTGTTATTGTTATTATCTGCTGGTTTGGGTAAAGTTATTTTAAGCTTGAGTTGTGATTTTATAGCCGAGCTTTCTGTTTCAGTTTTTAGTTTCGGGCTTCTCTTTTCGGTCTCGAGATCATTGTTTTCATCCGTGACCGGAGGTTTCTCATCCTTGACCATTTCTATGTCGAGTTTTTCTGAATTATCCTCTTCTTCATTAATCGATATATAGATGATGTCATTGGGGTCATCTTGGTCATTGTCTTCTGGCTCTTCTGATTTACCTTCGCTGACATTTTCTGGAAGGTGTGCTTTATTGTCATCTTGCTTCTCGTCGTCCTTAGTATCTGAAAAATACAAGGGTATATTAAGCTAATTACAGATATGATATTGCTGATGGAAACTAAAGACTATACGGTAAGTCCGGTTTATTACGATAAAGCTGCTGATTGTCAGCAAACTAAAATATTGTGAAGGCTGATTCTCAACAGGAATATTAATCCAAAAATGTTGCCATCCCGTCCTGTATTATGTTGCCATCCCGTCCCGTCCTGACAAAATAACAATTTCTCAACATTCTGCAATACCACCTATACTCCTTTGAGGAGCTTCTTGTTTCAATCCGATTGTTTTTGCTTCTGAATTATGTTTTAAATTGTAATCAATCGGATACAGTTTAGCGTGGAAAAATTCACCGAACAGGTTCGATTCCGTCTAGTAAAAGCCCATGGTTCCCTGTGGGCTTCGTCAAGTTGTGGCCATGAACGGCTTAAGAGAAGAGACGAGATGAAAGGGAACGCGAGTGGCGATTATACCCCTGCCTGGAGCTAGCACCACGGGTAAAAATACGTGATCGAGATCAACGACTTTTTAAATTTTTAAAAATCCACGAAGTTCATCAGAATACTTAAGACTTGTAGCCGGGCTTTACGTTTACGTATTTTCTGATTAACGATATTTAAGATACTGTTATAAAAATCAAAGAATCCGTGATAATTTAAATGAGTTCAAATTTTTGGGAAAAATATTCAATATTCCTTACCATAAGGGGGCTCTATTTTAACGCCAGACAGTGTCCTACTTGAGGAATTTGTAATGGGGTTTGATGAAAAGAAATCTTTGTTAATGTTGTTAGCTATCTCAAAACAGTTTTCAAAATCGTCTGAATGGCGAAAAATGTACTTTAAAACAGCCAATGTGCTGACCAATTCTTTATCATCGACTGATTTGATATATCCACCATGGGATTCTAATTCCCTTTTGATATTGAATTTCCTTAATATTGTAAGTCTGTCATTTACTGAACGATTAAATTTGAGGTAAGAAACAAATTCATTAAAGTTTATCCATAAATTCGAGCCACGTTCCTCCTCCATGAGCGCTAGATCTGTTAACTGAAGCATGACTTGTAGCACAAAAATACCATTCAAATTAATAATTAGCCTCTTATTTTCACACACAACCTTTATAAAAGTTATGAATAGACGAAGGGCTATGTTGGAGAAATAACCAAGAGAAACGAGCCACGAATTCTTCGTTCCATCCGAACGACTGGTAGGTGCTATTCCTTGACAAGTGGACTCCACACTGAAAAATCTCGTACTATGTTGAGGAAATAACCTAGTTAAAACATTATCCATAATTTGAAGTGACTTACTCTATCTCTCTGCTACATAAGCTTTTACACAATGAATAATTATTCAAAATATAACCACTGATTTTCACACAAAATCTTTCTTGAAGTAAAGGTAATTGAATAATAATAATACATGCAGTACAGTCCGTATAGGCTTTACCCAAGTACACCGTAGTCGTTTTATTTAATGTGCACATAGACCCAACACACAGTCGTTATATATGCATTGGTTTTTATATTTGAATATAGGTTTATTGGTTGTGTCAAAAACAATTATCTACACACATAAGTAGCAGTTTAGTTGACCAAATCCTGGCTGTAAGCATAAAGATAGACTGACTTTCTGGGCCCTGTTTTTCGAAATTTTAACTAAAGATAAAATCCAAAGTTTTATAGTAGATACTTCAATTTCGATTGGCTAAGCACTAAAATATATCTAATATTATCCAATCAAATTACTAAAATTGGATTTTGTCATAGTTAAAATTTCGTGAAACAGCCCCCTGATTCTTCCATTTTCACTCCACCAAAAAGGATTACGTATTCGGAAAAATAACTGAAAAATCCACGATTAAACCACAAACACAATCAGTGTATTCACATGAAACTGAAATATTTCTGTGCCCTTTCTATATACAAAAAGAATGAATTGGAAGTAAAATCTCTATAAGATTGAAATGTGATACGAACATAGATAGGCTAGGAATTTCTACAGCCATGTGTTTAATACAACCTCGACCAGAAACAAATTATGTTGACAACCTGGGCTCAGATAGAGCAGACTGACGAGGAGTTATGAAGATTGTGGGTCGACGCGGACGTTGGTATGATTTCCTCAATAATTTAATCCTACCAAAGTCTGATTGATTCTGCTTCTATATATATATAAACTTATTCATAATTTGGAATTATTTCCAACTCTTCAAAATTGTAGTTGTATCTTGATTTCAAAGAAAGGTTGCCAAGCAACGAAACATATTTTTACTTTTGTCGTTAATGAAACATTTATAATACCCTAAATCACTAGAATTTGTTTGGCCCATGCTAACGTTTAGTATACAAAACATTTAATATCATGGATTTAGCTGTTCAAGTTATCAAAAATCATTGAAAATCAATACACCTTTGCTTGTTCGTCTCAAGACCTTAAACTCTGTGTATCAACCTAAAGACAATCGAAACGATTATATACTATTTAAAAAAAGTAGGGGATATTCAGAAACAATGCTGTTTTTATTAGAGGTAACCCGTGTATGTTAATAACAGGCCAATTGCCTACACATGAACACAAACAGCTTATCTGACGACCCATTTCACTCGCAAAGAGATAAACTGTCAAAAGTGAAAATAGACGTTTTTGATTTTTGTCTTAATAATGAGTCTCCCGATCCAATTAAACGTAACACACTAAAGCAAAGATACATTAAACAGTAAATCTTATGCAAGAACCCATAGGAAAGCAAACATGTATATATAAACCAGGACGCGGCAGTTTTCATCAACCCTTCCTTGAAGTGTCAAATTTGACAATGAACCCCTCCAACGTGTATGGCGCTATTGCGTCGCGTGTGCAGTTCAGTGGTTCTGTTGGGGCGATAAGTTCTTCATCTGTGAACATACTCTCAACGCATGTCAAGTGTCCATGACTATTTATCATATCACAACCTGCATAGGTATTTGCATCTGAATATAACCTACTTTTTTTTAAGAGTACATATAGGCGTAAACATGGTGTATACATATAAAATCAATCAGATGATAACTATGGTCTCTAAAGCATCCACAAGATTTTTGAAAGTAATTATCGGAAATCGCTGAAAATCAATAGGTTTCTTCGTCTGATGACCTTAAACACTGTGTATAAATTTAAAGTTACTCAGATATTAACATTAGCGTCTAGGGCATCCACAAGATTTCTTAAAGTGGTCAAATGCCATAACTCTGGGAATAATTATCGGATATTGGTGAAAATCAATAGGCTTCTTGCCTTTTTCGTCTCGTGTCCTTAAACACTGTGTATAAATTTAAAGTCAATCGGATATTAACTTTAGCCCCTAGCGTGTCCACAAGCAATTGTGGACGCCGGACGGACGGACGGGGGCGACGACAATATACGACCACATTTCAATGTGGCGTATAAAAACAGCACGCTACCGGTCCTTGAGAAGGCCCTTTTCCTAATCAGATAAGCTGGCTTAACTTGGCCATCTGGGCAGGTTTGCTTAACATTAAAGGTGTGCGAATTTGATTACCTTTTGTGGAAATTTGGTGTTCCCCAGCGTGAGATCCGTTTACTTGAACAGCAACAGTATTCACCTGGTTATCGGCACCTGTTTATGTTAGTGCCAGGAAGATTTCTATATCAAATATTATTATTTCCTATTATTGGTTAATGAGTTACTGTCCGCATAATCAATTTTTATTGTCTGGTGAATGGTCCCGTTACCAACAAAACAATAAGGAAGCGACAACATTTATAAACTTGTTGGCCACGTGTTTCGTTGCCTGGCAACCGATGTTTAAATCTATAGTGATGGTGTTTATGTACAAACAATCGAATGTCATGTGTTGAGTCATATGTTGAGTCTGCTCTAGATTCGGGGTTGATGGGTATAAAATTTCCAAAAGGGCAGATTTAGAAAACGTATTTTGCGACCAATCTTGAATTCGTAGTCTGTTGATGTACGGTTTATTTAGGAAGAAGTGACATTGTTATGATAACAGAGATACTGGTTGAACATTGTTGATAACATACGACTATGGCCGGTTTTTCTTGTTGCCCTATTTATAAACGTTCTCCGTCTAACCTTTTTTTTATTTTATTTTGTCTACGTAACCAATCTGGCCGTCTCTAAGGGTGTTAATTAATTTACAGTAGACTGGAGTCGTAGATGGCCAAATCTGAATCGCTCAGTACATTTCAAGATCATCGTTGTTCTTTGATGTTAAAAATGTCCTCCAGTTCACAAATATTGATTATTTGGACAATAATTCTTAGAAAAAATTATCATATCTCGTAATTTATAAGTAAGAGATGGGAATCCAGTACACGAAAAAGAGGTCCACCAGAAGTCAAGTAGCTCGAAATAAAATAAGAAGGGCAATGAAACATACGCCCGCGGCAGCTAAATCTTCCGACAGCCGACAAGTGTTATGGCATATTAAATATTAAATTTTGTGCTTTTGTGGGTAATAGGGGCATTTACAAGACACTGAAATCAATTATTTTCATACAGATCGAATGTTCACAGGGTTGAACAAAGTTAAATAAGGGCCATAAATGTAGAAATTGCTTAAATTCAATAGGATTCTTCTTTTTACTAACATCAATAATGCATTTACATTTAATAGATATAGGATGATAGCTTTTGTCATTAGAACATTTATAAGGGGTTCAACAAAATGAGATAAGGGTCATAAATCTAGAATTAGAAACGGAAATTGCTTAAATTCAATAGGATCTAAATAATGCATATAAATTCCATACAGGTCGAATGATAACTTTAGTATCTAGTACGTTCACATGTTTCAACAAATTGAAAAAGGGGCCATAACTCTAGAGGTATTTAAAGATCATTGTTGAAATTCAATAGGCTTATTCATTTTATTGATCTAAATAATGGATGTAAATTTCATGCAGATCGAATGGTAACGGCTATTGATAGAGCGTTCACAGGGTTCAACTTCAAACACATCTGTGTTTAATTGATC